TGGGTGCCCCGGTCCGGGGGCCGTCGTGTGGCCCCCCCCAGCCGCTCCGACCTCCTCCCGAGCTTCTGAGCGAGGCCGGCGTCGCGGGCAGCCGCGGAGGGCAGCGACAGCCCGCAGCTGCTGTCAAAGTACTTGCCTGTGATGCCCGAGGCCTCCTCTGAGACAGCGCAGTAAATGGTGCTGGCGGCGCCCTGCTCCGCCGACTGCCGGGCGAAGGGGGGTGAGGAGGGGGCCCGGCCGCCCCCCGCCCACCCTGCCGCCGCTGGGGCCGTGGGACGGGGGGTCCAGGCAGGATCGGGCCCTGCCACCTGCCCCCGCTCACCTTCATGAAGGGGCGGACGAGGTTGAAGAGCGCCCGCAAGGCCCAGCTGGAGTGGCGCATGATGCTGGTGCTCACCACACCAGGGCTCAGGGCGTTGGCGGTCACCCCTGCCGAGCCGCGCCGTCAGCACCGTGCTGGGGGCCGCGGGGACCCCGGCACGGGCAGGACCCTGCTCCTGTCCCGGTCCCTGCCTCCAGGGCCCGAATCCCTTGTTGCCATCCCACCTGGAGCAGCAGGAGCAGCCCCGAGCCCGGCTTTGGAGCTGGGGCTCCTCTGTGCCCCAGCACCGGGCCACCCCAGGGGACGCGGCCACCCCTGGCCAGGGCTCTGCCACCCGCAGGGGACGTGGGGGGGCCCGGCGAGTTTCTGCCAGGGCCAAGACCCCTCAGCCCCATCGTGCAGCCCCTGTGTCATGGCACAGCGGCACGGGGTGGTTGGGATGGGCAGCCCTCCCCGGGAGCAGCGTGGCGTGGCACGGCATGGCACGGCTCAGCAGGGCATAGCTGGGCATTGTACGGCATGGCACAGCACCACGTGGCATGGCACAACAAGGCATGGCACAGCACGGTACAGCCGTGCATGGCACAGCACGGCATGGCTCGGCACAGCACGGCATGGCTCAGCACAGCACCGCATGGCACGGCACGGCACAGCTCAGCATGGCGTGGCACAGCACGGCACGGCATGGCTCAGCACAGCTCGGCACATCATGGCACAGCACAGCTCGGCACGGCGCGGCACGGCACAGCTCAGCATGGCATGGCACAGCACAGCACGTCATGGCACAGCACAGCTCGGCATGGCACGGCACAGCTCGGCATGGCGCGGCACAGAGCCCGGCACCCACCTGTGCCCTGCAGGCGCCGCGCCAGCTCGGCGGTGAAGAGGACGTTCATCAGCTTGGTGCTGTCGTAGGTGGCGGCTGAGCTGCTGAGCCGCTCCTGCCCGCTGAGGCAGCGGACGTCGACGGTGCCCACGCTGTGCCGGAAGGACGAGACGTTGACGACACGGGCAGGCGCCGACGCCTTCAGGAGGTCTGCGTGGAGCAAGGGGTGAGCAGGGGGGGGTCCCCGGAGCCCCCCGGCCCCGGCAGCCCCCGCGCTCACCCAGCAGCAGGTTGGTGAGCAGGAACGGGCCCAGGTGGTTGGTGGCAAACGTCTGCTCCAGCCCCTCCGGCGTGATGGCGAAGGGCAGCCCTGAAAGAGGGGAGCACGGGGCGCCGTGGGGCCGGGCAGCTCACCCACCACAGCGGGACAGGGAGCTGGACCCCGGCTGGGGCTGGGACGGGGGTGGCAGATGCCTGACCCCGACCCCGGTGCGTACCGGTGACGCCGGCGTTGTTCACCAGCACGTCCAGCCGCTTCTCCTCCCGCAGCACAGCCTGGGCGAAGGCGCGCACGGAAGCCAGCGAGCTGGTGTCCAGCAGCCGCAGCAGCACCGCGGGGTTGCCGGTGGCCGCCCGGATTTCCTCCACAGCCGCCTGGCCCCGCTCCCGGCTCCGGCACGCCAGGATGGTGCGGGCGTTCCTGCGGGCCAGGTCCAGGGCCACGCACTTGCCGATCCCTGCGGCACACGGAGCGGACGTGGGCTGATCCCCACTGGGTCCCCATGGCGAGGGGTCCCTGGGGGGCCGTGCCCCTGTCCCCAGGGTCTGGGCAGCCCCAAGAGCAGCGCAAGGCGATGGAGGGGGGCCCCGGCCCGGGCAGCTCGGCCAGTCGGGAGCCCAGTGCCGAACCCAGGGTGCCCCAGCACTGGAGCGGGGGGGGGAGCGGGGGGCAGTGGGGCAGGCACCCCAGGGCCGGGCTTCCCGCTCTGCAGCGCAGTGTGGCTGTGCGGGGATGGGGATGAGGCAGGACAGTCACCACAGGGTGCGGGAAGGAGCTGGCGGTGGCAGCTCACTGCAGCTCCATCGGTGGCTCAACCCGGGCCACGCAGGCAGTACGTCTGCCACAGCCACGGCCACCAAACCCACCCAGCTGCGCTGTGCCAGCACCGCTCCGCATCGGTGCTCCCGCAGGGCGGGAAACGACAGGCATTGGGAGAGAGGGCACCCAGCCCCTGGGCACACAGGGGGACACCGCGGCGCCCTGCGTGCGGGGGGACACCCTGCATCCCCGGCCCCGAGGGTCCCACTGCCCCTGGCTCTGCCAGCCCCGGCCCCGTGTTTTGCAGCGGGACACGGGTGGGAGCAGCGACCCCGTTCCTGCCACGCAGCTCTGGCACAGCGCAGTGCCCAGGGCAGCCGGCAGCGCAGTGGCCTTGGCCGTCAGTCACTAGCCGGCTGGGGCAAAGTCCGGCTGCAGAGCCTGGGCGGGGGCTGCGGGCGCGGGGCTGCCCAGAGGCAGCGAGGCAGAACGGCTCCTGGGCAGAGGACGCCGGGGCCCGGCCCTCGAGTACGTGGCGTGGAGACCAGTGGTCAGCGCGGTGCAGAAGACGTCTGAGAGCACATGGCGTGAGTGTGCCGTGGGCGTGGGGTGCCGGGACCATGTCCTGCACGCCCAGGGACCGGCCGCCGGCCACGCCTGCAGCCGTTTGCACCACCGCAGCAGGGGCTGTGGGTCCGCAGTTGGAGAAGGGGGACCCGTGCCCCCTGTGGATCGCCCCACAGCACCGTGCCGCCATGCCGTCACCCGTGCACATGCCTCCGGCCCCTTCTCCATGCCCGGGGAGCAGGGAGCTGCCGCCTCTCCCCGCTCCGGCACGAAAGGAGGGTGGCTGGGTCCCGTGGCCAGGCAGGACCCGCAGCCCTGCACCCACGTCCTGCATCTCCCCGGCCCCGCAGCCCTGCAGCCCATGCGCTCCCCCGCCGCCAGTCCCCGCTCACCGCTGTTGGCTCCGGTGACAATCACCGTCTTGCCGGTCAGGTCGGTGGGACACTTGCGGGGGTCCCAGGCACTTCTCCTCCGGGCCCAGAGGAGCAGCCCCAGCAGCAGCGCAAGCAGGAACCAGCACGGGTGGCTGCAGGCGCTCGGCAGCTCCATGGCTGGGGCGCGGGGTTCCGGCTGGGGCACAGGGTTCCGGCTGGGTGGCACGGCGCGGTTCCCTCCTGCTCCCTGAGCCCCCGGGAACAGAGGGGGGACAGCTGGCAGGAAAGTGCTCGCTGGGCAGGGGGGAGCAGAGCAGGCAGGGGCCTGAGCCACACGTCCCTTGTGCCACCCCGGGGCTGCTCGCCCACACGGGCCAGGGAGCCCCCCGCCAGCGCCGGGCAGCCGCTGCAGGAGGGGTGATGCCCAAGGGCAGCCCTGAGGTCCCCGTCCCGACACAGGGACACTTGGCCACGAGCCGGGGTGGGAGCCACGGCCCCGCGGGAGCAGGGACCTGCCAGAGGGGCTCGCCAGGATGGGGGCAGCCCCAGCAAGGGACCCCGGGGTGCTGCACTGCACCCGGGGCACGCGGGGAGGCGGAGGAGGCTGCAGCCCGGCGGTGGCCGCACGGCGGGGGGGGCATCCACGCAGACCCTGCCACCGCGTCCTGCGTCCTGCTGCCGCAGCCCTGACTCGAGGTCCCCATCCTCCCGACCAGGCTGGCAGCCTGGGGACGCAGGCAGGGCCCTTCTGGGGGTTTCAGCAGCTCAGCAGATGCTTCCCCCAGGAATGGGTCCCGCTTTCCCGGGGCTCCCGCAGCCTCTGAGCCCCTGGCACTGGACGAGCATTGCTGGCCCCGAGCTATGGTTGGACTCCATGATCTTAATGGTCTTTTCCAACATAAATGATTCTACGATTCCAAGCTGCTGCCATCCCTGGCCGCTCCGGCCTCTGGCGTTTCCCCAGCTCTGGCCTCCCGCCCCGGATGAGCCCTCCCTGAGCTCGGCTGTCCCTGAGCATCGCCCCACACCGTCACAGCCAAAACCGGGTTCTTTACAGAAAAACCTGGGGCGCTTGCGCGGCCAGAGCACCGCTGGAGCCGGCGAACAGCCCGGTGGTGGCTTGGCCTCACCAGCCCCGGTGGCTCTGGGTGCAGGGTGCAGGGAGCAGAGCCGGGGCCACCCGCCAGGGCCGCAGCCGGAGGCCAGGCAGAGCAGCGTGGAGGCAGCCGGGCCTCCGAGGGCAGGGACCTGGGCCAGCGCCGCAGCCTGGGGACACGGGGCGGTGGCAAACCCCAGGGAGAGCTCACGCGGTAAAGCCACACACACATTTCAGCCCGTTAAATCCCTCTCATTTCTTGTTTGGTGGCAAATCAGCTGCAGGGTACGGGCTGCGTGCGGTTACAAGGTGAAAAACAGACGGCAGGTTGTTGTGCGGGGTCAGGCGGGAACGTGCCGAAAGCAGCGGGCAAGGAGCCAGCCTAGGACGGGGGTCTCTCCTGGAGCTCGGGCACCCAGACGCTGCGCCGAGCTGCAGGACAAGGGCAGCACCCAGCCGGGCACCCAGCCATGGAGCTGCTGGAGCCGGTTTCCCGACGGACGAGCTCCAGGATCGGGGGCCAAGCAGGCGGGCTGCTCCCCAGGATGCGAGGGGGAGGACGGGGACGAAGCCCACGGGGCACCACCAGCCGCCCGCAGTGCCGCGGCTCCTGCCCGGTGCAGGGGCTGCCCTGCCAGAGCGGAGACGCGGCACACCGGGAGCTGGGGGGGCCCGGCCCGGCTGCGCCTCGCACCAGGGCTGCCGTGAGCAGCGGGGCCGCTCGTGGGAAACGCGTGGGACACGGTGGGGAGCCTGGCAGCTGCCCATGGCCCCAGGGCCCTTCACCACTCGCCTTCGCCCGACACCTGACAGGCCGCAATGGCCGGGAAGGGCACGGTGGAGTGGATGGGTCGCAGGTCCCGCTTGGCCTCCCCCGTCTCCTCCTCCTCCTCCTCGCCGTGCGTGGGGATGCAGAGCCCGTGCTTCACACTGCCGCCCCGTCTGACGGTTGTGCCGGGAGCCAGGCGAGCGGAGTCCAGCAAGGAGCCGAGCTGCCAGGGCACGGGGCCGGGGGGCTGCAGGGACCCCCGGGGGGGCGGCTGGAGCTGTCCCCCCGCCGTGGTGACCGGCCCCCAGGGCAGCCGCGAGCTGCCCAGCTCCAGCCCCCGGCTGTGCCAGCGGCCACCCTGGGGACGTGCCGCCGGCTTGGCCTCCGCTCCCAGGTCCAGCACCTCCACCTGGGGCCTGATCCAGCGCTCGGGCCGGCTGCCGGGGCCCAGCCTGGGGACCCCCGGAACGGTGCCGGACCCCTCTCGCTTCGCCCCTGTGCTGTGCAAAGGCCTGCCTGGCCGGATCGTTACCAGGCTGGTGCCGGAGGGAGGGGACAGTGGGG